ATAGCTTCCTTGGGGAAAAGAGTGAGGCTGTCTACTCCTGTAAAGATTTAAAGTCACAGAAATTCAAAAGGGCAGCTGGATTGATCCCACAAGGTCCTTATGAGTTGGAATGGATTTGATGGCCGTGATAGTGGCTTTAGTTTTGAGTTTTAAAATTCAAAGGTATTAATATTTCTCTGGCTTCTTTATTCACTGCCTAGCATTCACATGCCTATGACGTGACTGAAAAAATACTGTGACGAGTCAAGTACACTTTTAGCCCTCAAAGGGATATGTTTGCTCTTGTGCAACTTATTATTTTTTTTCTTTACCAATTTAGACAGGTCTTTTGCATCAGATCTGCCTAATGAGACATTTGGATTTCATGGGCATTGATCCCAAAGGGGCTTCAATATCCTTGGGTCTTGATTATATGCTAGTTCTTGGAGTGGTTGATATCAGCAAGGCACTGATAACATTCACCCTTGTCAGGCTGTAAAGCTGCCCCTTATGTAGTCTGTGTCCAGCAAGCGTTGTATCCTAACAATAAGCATTAAATTGTGAAGGGTCAGGAATTCATGTTTCCAGCCCAGGATCCAAGAGAGCTTCAAAAAGTTTGTGGGAAAATTCCATGATCTTTTAGTTCCAGTTTTCCACAAATAATTTGAAGGTCCCTTGTACAATATGGCTTTTGGTAGCCAAACTGTGGACCTAGTTCTTACCTCTTGGTGATTTAGAATTCATACCTGATACCCATAAAACTACAGTCTACAAGTCACTGGGACTCATATTGACCTTATGGGACAGTGCAGAACTGCCATAGACAGTTTCCAGGGCTGAGATCATTAAGGACAGACCCTGGTGCAGAGTGATTTAGGCACAGGTTGGGGGTTTGAACACACCAGCCTCTCATGGGAGACAGACTTGGCAATTTGCTGCCCTAGAGATTTACAGACGTGGAGCCCCTACAGGGCTGCTCTATTGTGCCCTTTGGGGTTGGTACAGTTCCAATGGATGGGATGCCAATGGGTTTGGCTTTGGAATCTTTACGGAGGTAGACTGTAAGTGGATTGCCACATCTTTCTAGAACAAGCTGGTGGTTTCTGGCTGTCATCCAGAATCACTGAGCCTCTACCACTCCTTGGAGATAGTAACAAAGACCTGAAGACTCATTGATGCTGACTCATAGGGACCCTATAGGATGGGATGGGACTGCCCCTGTGGGTTTCCTGGGCTCTTTACCACAGTAGAAAGCCCTATGTTTGTCCTGGTGGTCTTGAACTAGACTTTTCAACTGTGCTGATCGCAGCTCAACTCGTAACCACTATGCCACAAGGGCTCATGATTGGAGATGGCAGTACATATTCATTTAACTGAATGGCTGTAATATTAGTCAATATATGCAAAATTCCCTCAACAATGTCTAGGTCACCCACCACCACTCCAAATCCCAGCCACCCTCCAGGGCAGAGTAGATCTGCTCCATCGGATTGCCCAAAAGTAAACTCTAAATTAGGTTCAATCATATTTTTGTTTTAGCACGCCTCATAGGTTTGAAAGGTAGCCTAGGATCCTCATAGCAGACTCATTTTGAAATGTATCCATCGGTTGTATGTTAGACACATTTAGAAGCCTGGTTGTTGTTTCTACTAAAAAAACAAACAAACAACAACAGTGGCCACCCATAAATCCCATTTGCTTTATTACAACGAACTACATTCACCTATCCTCCAGGAGAGGAAAGCATTCAGGGGCTTGGCAAGTGGACCTGTGTGGGTTCGGAAGGAGCCTGCAAATCGATGTGAGAAAGCTGTTTGTTCACTAGCAATCTACCTAATAATCTTCTTTAGCTGAGATGTAAGAGGAAAGGCTCCAAGAGACCCAACTGCGAATCCCGCAAGACGTTGTGTTTTTGTTTTTTCAAGCTCAGCTCTGCTAAACTTGTGCTGCAGTACAAAGGCTTAACGTCTTTGAGGTTCTTTCTGACACTCTGCAAGGCGGAGTTGCATGGCAGAAACAACAAGTTGCGGTAAACCTACTTATCTTTGT